GGTGTGCCCGATGGTGGTTGTCCCGATGGTTGTCCCGTGATTGTCCCGATGGTGTGACCGATGGTTGTCCCGATGGTTGTCCTGATGGTTGTCCCGAAGGTTGTCCCGATGGTTGGCCCGATGGTGTCCCGATGGCGGATTCCTGAGGGCTGCTACAGAGATAGATGGGAGGTTGGGGGGTGTAAACGGAAGTAACCCCAACCAGGAAATCGTTTTCGGTTTCGGTTCATGTCGTGCTTGCGGGCGAGGCGAAGTTGCGCGAGTTCCTGCACGGGTAGTGGCCACATGGAGCCCAAAGGGCCGCCCCCCCCCCCCCCGCTGGCGCGTGTCCCGTGGTTGTCCCGCGGTAGTCCCGCGGTTGTCCCGCGGTTGTCCCGTGTTTGTCCCGTGGTTGTCCTGATTGTTGCCCCGCGGTTGTCCCGTGGTTGTCCCGATGGTTGTCCCGATGCTTGTCCCGATGGCTGTCCCGATGGTTGTCCCGATGGTGCTGTCCCGATGGATAGTGGTTGACCCGATGGTTGTCCCGATGGTTGTCCCGATGGTTGCACCGATGGGTGTCCCGACGGTTGTCCCGAAGGTTGTCCCGATGGTTGTCCCAATGGTTGTCCTGATGGCTGTCCCGATGGTTGTCCTGGTTGTCCCGTTGATTGTCCCGATGGTTGTCCCGATGGTTGTTCCGATGGTTATCCCCATGGTTGTCCCGATGGTGTTGTCCCGATGGGTGTCCCGATGGTTGTCCCGATGATTGTCCCGATGGTTGTTCCGATGGTTGTTCCGATGGTTATCCCCATGGATGTCCCGATAGGGGTTGTCCCGATGGGTGTCCCGATGGTTGTTCCGATGGTTGTCCCGATCCTTGTCCCGATGGCTGTCCCGATGGTTGCTTCGATTGATGTCCCGATGCTTGTCCCGCGGGTTGTCCCGATGGTTGTCCCGATGGTTGTCCCGATGGTTGTCCCGATGGTTATCCCGATGGTTGTCCCGATGGTTGTCCCGATTGTTTTCCCGATGGTTGTTCCGATGGTTGTTCCGATGGTTATCCCCGTGGTTGTCCCGACGGTTGTTCTGATGGTTGTCTCGACGGTTGACCCGATAGAGAGGTCGATAGATAGATACACCGAGAGATAGGTAGAGATGTCTATATATATATATATATATATAGATCGACAGATCGATGTATCGAACGATAGAGAGATATAATATCCGGTATACATACCTATACGACCACCCTGCGGGTGATAAGGAGGTTGTGGGGGGGGGAGGGGGGGGGCTCATGACGACAATTGTGGTGAATGTGGTGCTGATGGCCGATGATGGTGTGGATGACGTGGCGGATTTTTGTTTGTTCTTTCGCTTGGGCGTTTTGTGTCATTCGGCTTGCCGCTGCGCGACGCGGCACTCACCCCACGACGGTCCAGTCGACGACGCGTGCACTGGCAGGGCCTGGTGCTGAAACATTTATGTTGGCGAACCACTAGCGACAGACAGGACAACGGCGGGCAACGGACAGGACAATGCGGGCCACCGCTTGACACGCGCCGGCGGGGGAAACATTTATGTTGGCGAACCACTAGCGACAGACAGGACAGAGGCGGGCAACCAACGGGACAATGCGGGCCACCGCTTGACACGCGCCGGCGGGGGAAACATTTATGTTGGCGAACCACTAGCGACAGCAGAATGAATTCCTCTCGCCCGCGCACGCAGCTTCGCCTCGCCCGCACGCACGACACGAACACGAAACCGAAACCGATTTCCCGGTGGGGGGCTCTCCGTCCCACTTCGATCTCACCCCCCAACCCCCGATATAGATATACATGTGTATATATATATATGTGGAAAATGGAAGGATCGATATATAAGCTAGATAGAAGCAAACGGAAGCACGTGGTATTGATTTGCCAGCGCGCTCTTTGGTGGCGGCAGGTGGGAGTCATCGCACATCGACCGCCTCCCCCTTGCCCCCCCCAGATATCCTCATCACCCGTAGGGTGGTCCTATCGGTTACTATCATTATTCGTTTCGGGATTCTCCTGTTTGTGGAAGATCTTCGTAAAGTCCACGAAGTCACTGTTCGCCGCCAATGCGGCCTCTGATGCCAATGAGGAGGGTCCTTGAAGGGTCGCCGCTCTTGAAGCGCAGGTAGTTTCACTGAGTTCGATTATATAACTTCTCGTCCGCAAATGCGGCTGCGCTTTCACGTACGTCGCCCCTCCCAGAAATTACCGCGCAGGTCGCGTCGTTTCACCCGCACGGGGCGATGATCTGCCCGGGGTTCGCGTGGATCTGCGCCAGCTCGTCAGAGCGTCGCCTGGGGTTTGCAGCCGCCCCTCCGAAGTTGGCCACGCAGAAGCCGATACGGCCCGCTTCGGATTGCGCTGTTTGCCCCCATGCCTAAACAAGGGATCGATGTTTTTCCGACAACGGCCGGTCTGGATCACGGGCGCCTTCTTCCAGGCCCGTTTCGTCGACATCTTTTTCGGCATGCGGGGTTCCTTTGCTGCCGCAGCTGCAGCTCTGGCTTCTCTCCGTAGCTCCGCCCCGTCTTCCCCATCGGCAGCGGAGGCAGCCGAGGATGCGACGGTGTTGCCGCCATCATGCGTCCCTTGGCCGTCGTCATATGCCGCGACTGCTGTTTCGTCGTCGTCGGGGTCCGCCACCTCCACGCGGATGGACTCCGTGTTGGCCTCGACGCCCCGCTTGCCCGTGTCACCGTCCTGTAGCACCTTTGCGTTCACCTACGCAACTGCGGACGCGTGGCGCGCTCAAAGGCAAAGCGCCAGTGCGCCTGCAAAAGCAAGCTCCCGCCCCAAGTCCTTCGCTGCCGTTGAACGCCTCCATCCGGTGATGGGCAAGAGGAAGGATCCGCGGGAAGGCGCCGTTACGTCACTGTTGCTCTGGCTGTTCGTTGGTAGTCGCGTTGTTGGGTCAACGGAAATGACCTTCGGCCTCAACTGCCCTTCCTTCTGGGTGGCCGCTTGTCGTTCCCGCAGCAGCAGGTTCCTTCGGGCCTGGGGGTGGCAATGCTTTGTAGCCAAACCCATCCGGATTGCCCTCTCCAGCTGGCACAGCTCCTAGGGCCACCGCAATTGTTTCCCGATGTGCCTCTGACTCCAACCGTTCCGTAGCATCCACGCAGCCGCCGAGGAGCGCTTGGCGAGCTTCATGGGCAACTCGAGACTTTAAGCCTGTGGCCTGCAGGCACTGCGCGTAGCTCTCCGCCGTCATTATGCACAAGCTCGCCTTGAACTCGAGCGCCGTCTGATCGCCCACATCATCGAAGTTCTTGCCCAGCGTGTGCAGATGCAGACGGAGAGCCGTGCTCACGTCGTGCACGAAACCTAACGCCTCTTTCCTCCTCCACACTGTTTCTGGATCTGTGCACCATACTGCAGCGTCAAGCCCCCTCGTCCTCGCAGGCGCGCTCCTGTCGCACCGCATAGTCAGTGCAGCTTTGACCCACGGTACCTGGTCAGGAAGCTCGCTGGCCATTCCAGAGGCATCGAGTTCATGTCGACCTCGCAGAACTGGAACAGCAGGGAGGCGAACCCAGCCTCAGCACCCCCGAGCCCAACGACGAACGAGAGCAGCTCCACAAAGTCTGGGTCCTGGACGACACGATCGAACTCGTGCATAACGGAGAGCCTGACCTTTTCAATTTGCAACTTGTCAAAACAAATGCACCTGGCCCGTGCCTGCCTTATCGAGCTTCACGCCCACGGCCTTGCACGGGACACGGGGCGCGGTGACTTCGGTCGCCCGCGGCGCAAAGTCGTTTCCTTTATTGAGGGACTGGTTGATGAGCGAAGCGCCAGTGGGCCCCTCGTCCGTAATTTGCCAGCTGAGCATTACCACGTTTATTCCCTCCTTCATAAGCTGCTTAGCGATAGGGCCCTCTTCCGCCACTGCGGCCATGTCGAGACTGCCGTCCTTACAAAGCACCACGCGACGCAGCCTCGCGCGCTCGTCCTCCTCGGATGGGCCACCTGGCTCAAACGGTGATTGCGGGGATGCATTGCTTGATCCCTGCCCTGCATGTGGTTCGAATCGCCCCAAGGAGGTGGCAAGAGCGCGCTCAACCAGGACGCCCTCCCCGTGGCCAGTGTTCGCGGCGGGGGGGGCGCCCCAGAAATCCTGGGGAAACGGAGATATAAAAAGGCGGTGGTCAGAGCGCGCTCAGCCGGGGCGCCCCCCCCCCGCTCTCCTCCCCCCGTGGCCGCGGTTCCTTTCGGAGGGGGGTGCGCCCTGGGCATACGTTTGAGAACTCCGCACGAGCTGCCCAGGGAACGTCTGGTCCCAGGGGCGAGGCCTGCTTAGAAGCCCTCTCGATGGCCCGAGAGAGTAAGGAGAAGGGCGTGGGGCGTGCGGATGGGGATACGATGGCGAAAGGCGAGGAGGGCGCGAGGCGGGGAAGATCGACGAGAAGGAGGAAGACGGGGCTGGGAGAGATGGAGGAGAGAAGAGCAGGAGAGCAGGAGGCAGAAGACGGCGGAGGGGGAGAGGGAGGAGGTATCTTCCTTCAGTCGGAGACGGGGGAGGCGCTTCCCGTTAGTAAGCGAGCGGATGCAGAACGAAGGCGCAGCCGTGATGACGTCGAAAGGGCACGCCGAGGGCGTTCTTGTTGTTGCCGTGTCCGTTTCTAGCCAGATTTCCACATCGTGCAAGGAAGTGCCAGGGGGATCGCTTCGAACAGTCAAAACAGTGCCAGAGCACTGCGTTGAACCGTCGCACTTGTATGGGGTTTGGGAGTGCGCACTTGTATGGGGTTTTGGAGGGAGTAGGCCGAAGAGGAGGGGGAGGAAGAAGTACAGAAGGTCGCTGTCGGTCAACCCATCTGCAGTGGCCCATCCAGTCTCTGCCCACATGCAGGGTGGAGGCGAGGAGTCTTGCTTCGGATGATCCCAGACCGAAGGAGCAGGATGAGGTCCTTACGGGAGGTCGTTGCCATGATTGCTCGAATCTACCAATAGTCAGCATCAGCCGCCCCGAGGTTGCACAGCATGGCGACCAGAAAGGAGGTCACAGTCAGATACGAAGAGCAGCAATGCACGTTGTTGTTGGTCGAGGGCGCCGAGCCAGAGGCACTGTCATCCGCCCTGTTCGCCAAGCTGGGGATTCAAGGGATGTCGCCGTACCTCACAGAAGTGGGCAGCGACGCCGTGGTGCCCCTCACCGCCGCCCTGCCTGCAGGCATGATCCTGGAGGCGCACGCCAGGCATACGCTGAGACCTCCCAAGCAACGCCTTCCCAGACAGCGACTTGGCACCGTGAGCATCGACGAGAGCAGGGCCCGAACGCGCAGCAGGCTCGACAGCGGGGGCACCGATGACGCCGACGCAGATCTTCAGCGCCGAGCCGACAGCCCCTCGAAGGGCTGGACTTCAGCAGCGGCCGGTGGCGCGGCCGACCGCGGCCCAGAGACCCGGAGCAGAACGGGCACCTTCTCGTCCCCGTCGCAGATCCCGAGCCCCTCGAAGAGACCAGGAGACCTCTGCTGGGCAACTCTCCGCCACACCGTCCAGGACGACGAGGACGAGGGGGCAGACGACTGACGGGGCTGGGACGAGGATAAAACCGCTCCAGAGCGTTCGGGAGCGCTTTGAAAGCGTTCCGGAACGCTCTGAGAAGGCCGTGGCGCCCGAGCTATCCTCCAGAGCCGCAGGATCTCAGAGATTCTCGATGTACCCCCACCCGATATTATCTTCGTCTTGGCTTCGTCTTTACACGAGGACTGGGGACGAGGAGGACGAGTGGAAACGCCGAGGACGAGTGGAAGCGAGAAGGACGAGGATGTCCCCAGAAGTACCTGGGCCCCAGGAGTCCCCAGGGGCCTCCCGAGGCGTCTCCAGAAGCCCCCCCCAGGAAAGGCCCCAGACATCAAAATCGAGGACCTCCAAAGACGACCCCATAGGCACATCAAGGCTCCAGGATCCTGCCTGCCTCCCTCTTTATCGGCGGCGAGCGAGGGGGGAAGCGAGAAGGAGAAGACCTTTTCAGAAGGCGGCCGGGCTTCTCAGAAGTCCTCTGGCCTTATGAGAAGGTTTCTGCGTCTTCGGGGAAGGCTTAGCGAACTTCCCAGAGGGCCCATGGACTTCCGAGCTTTGTGAGAAGGCCCGCCCCCTCTCACTTCCCCCCCGGGCGGGCCGCCGATTTTGGGGGTGCAGTGGTATCGTGTAGATTTCAGGTTTCTGAGAGGCTCGAACTGTCTGCGCCTCGTCGGCTCCGTGCGGGGGACTGGGAGGCGGGGGAGAGGTGAGCACAACGTTTTGGACAAGAAAGCTGGTATTGCGGCATAGCCAGATCTAGGTAGCCCTTGCCGCCTCCTCGCGCCCAGTCGGCAGGCCAGTCTAGCCCGATCCGACGGTAGACTTTCTCACAGCAAAGTTCTCCTGTCCAAGACCGTGAGTGCATTGAAGGTGCTGGCCCTCAGGAGAGGGAGCCCCGCCTTCCGACGGATTGATTCCTCCATCCGCCGGCCCCACCAGGGCTGGACTCCTTCCCTGGGGGCAGCCTTTCGTCCTGGAGCCGTTGTTCAGGAGGGAAAAAAACACACAGACACAATTAATCGTCGATTCCCTAGAAAATATGCGAAAATATAGGAAGTGGGGGGGAAGACAAAAACCCAGAACATATGGGAAAATATGGGGAATCTTTTTATTTGTGTGCATTTATTTGTGTGTCCCAGGGCTCCTTCAGTTGTGACTGCTTGACCGTCCTGGGGCCAGAAAACGGCCCCCAGGGCCGAAGCGGAGGAAGCTCGGCGGGACTGACAACATCAGCCCGCCCCCTGTCGGGGAGGGTGCCCAGCGCCACCAGGCCTCCTGCGGGAAGCGGGGGGGCAGACTGCCCACGCCCTCGGGCGGAAAAGGCGGCCCCGAGCCAGTGTCGAAGTGCTGGGCCCACGAGCTGGTCGGAGGTCGATGGAGCCCCCATCCTGAGTCGGTTGCGGTCGAGCATCCGATTAAGAAACCTCCTCCCGAAAAGCTGAGCCAGCGTTTCACAACCAACTTGCCGGAAGGCTGGTCCGGCTTTCAGAGCGCGTTCGTCCCTCCAGCGTTAACAGAAGATGTGGCCCAGGCTTGTCTCCAGAAACTTCCCGAGAATCGGCCCGGGTTTCTTGAATGATACGTCTCTTAATCCGTGTGGAGGAGGAGGAGGAGGAAGAGAAGGAGGAGGAGGAGGAGGAGGAGGAGGAGGAGGAGGAGGAGGAGGAGGAGGAGGAGGAGGAGGAGGAGGAGGAGGAGGAGGAGGGGGGGAGGAGGGGGAGGAGGAGGGGAGGAGGGGCAGGAGGGGGAGGAGGGGGAGAAGCGAATTACCCTTTTTCGCTTCCCGAGAGGGTGTTACGGCCGCTCATTTTGCGGGCCTGCGCCCGCCGTGTCTGGTGTCCCGGGTCGCTCCCACCAAAAGGTGGTTTGTGGAGGGGGGTTCTGTCCACCCTCGAGCCGGGCCTGGCGGCCTGCTGCGGCTTGGAGGCGGTGGTGGGTGTGTCCCCTCCCCCCGACGGCCCACACACCTTCAACGCCCTGCAAGGGCAACGACGGGGGGGGAGGGGCGGGGGGAGGTAAACTCCAGGGGGGACGCCTCGACCCCCGATCGCGCAGGCATCGCCGATGGGCCCGATATCCCACCCCGCCTGGGAACGTGCGGATTCGCTGTCGGGGGCTTATCGCCGATCGGTCGGCGATGCATCGGCGATTCCAGCTCGATTCGTGGAACAAGAGACGATACAAACATGAAAACTCCGAGGTCTGGGCGGATTTCTTGGATCGGCGCTGGACCCCCTTCCCTGGCGCGCGGAGGGCGCCAGTGGCGGCGACGGAGGCGCCGCCAGGGAGCTCCAGCTCCGATCCAAGAAACCCGCGGGGACCTCAGAGTTTTGATATGAATGTAATTGTTTGCCTCCCTGTCGATATTTCCCCCCTGAGCTGGTCCCCCCTCTACTGTTCCCCTCGGCCCTGGAAAAGGCAAGGCAGATATATCGTGTCGGCTGCGGCGTCTCGAGGCAGTTTTATCGGACCCCTGGGTCGTCAACAGAAAAGTCGTCGGAGCAACTGGCCCCGCAGGGAATGAGTTGAAATCAGGTGTATTTTGGCGATGTCGTGGACCGTCTTCGCTTTGACTTCGCTTTGAAGCCAAGGAGGAACGAAGACAGAACGAAAACAGAGAACACTGTTTTGGTCGAGCCTGGGTTGAGATCTCTGGGGGGGGCAGATTAAAAACAATACGTCGGATCTCTGGGCCCCCTGACCTCTGGCGGCCTCTTCTGCCCAGCGCTGGCCTCTCTCCCCGAGCTGTTCTATTGACGGTCCCGGGGACCCGAGGCGGTCTTAGGAGGATGGGAATGCAGTCGGATCAGGGTACAATATCGAGGTCGGTTCGGAGAGGGTACCCTACTGTTTTTCGTGTTTGTTGGGCGTTCTGCTGCATCCTGTGGAGGGTACCCCAGGATGTTCTGTCTGTTTGGGCCGGCGGAGGGTCTCATGTTCTTGAGGCATGTTCTTCTGGACCAGGTCCGACAGTAGCGAAAGGCCGCGGGTGCGATGTCTCTCGAAACGCCACGGGTCTGGGCCCTCCCCCTCCAGAATCGCCCCCTTCGGTTTCTCCCGGAGCACGTTCTGACCAGGATTTCGAGGCGGATCTGGCCGTGGCGACGGACCCCCACAGGCCTGGAAGAGCAGGGGGGGAGGCTGAGGACGTCGAGGGTGACGTGGGGAAGGGCCAAGCCATCTCGCCCAGCAGACCGGGGCGTCCCTTGAAGACTTCCTTGCCACTGTCACGAAGGAGCGGGAAGCTTCTTGGCGGTTCCCCAGGGTCTTTCTGGAGGCTTCCGAGCTGCTTCCGGCAGGCTTCTGATAAGTGTCTGAAAGGCTTCTGAGGGTTTCCCGAATAGTTTATGAGAGGCGTCGTTCATAGTTCTGAGGTGTTGCGTGGAGGCTTCTTGGATACATCTGACCTTTGAGAGGCGTCATGGGAACCATTGAGAAGCTTATTGGAGGCGTCTTGGATGTGTCTGATTAGCTTACTGCAAGTTTCCGATGTGCTTCTTTAAATGTGTTCGACCAGTCCATGGGAGGTTTTCGATCGTTTGCCTGGAGTCTTCTAAGCGGCGTATTGAAGGTATCCGAGAGGCTTTCTGGAGGCATTCGAAAGTTTTCTTGGTGGTGTCTTGAAGATGTCCGACCGCCTTCTTGGAGGTTTCAAGGCGGTGTCTAAAAGGTTTCTTGGATGCGTGCGAGAAGCTTCTGGGAGTAGGAAGCAGGAAGGAGTGACGCGGGGCGCTGTCTCTACAAAACGAGGACACAACACCACAGGATAGTTGTGAAACATCAGACCTCGAAGGGGTCTGGGTTCACCTCCTGGTGGGATCCTGGTGTCAAAAATCACCCCCCGGACTTGTCCCAGGGTGCGCGCTGGCCTAAATCTCAGCGCGAATCCCGCCGAGGCCACGAGGAGCAACCCGGAGCCCCAACCAAAGAGCGCCCAGCAAATTCGGCCCGCCACCCTCGATGTTTGAGGGACCTGGCTCGTCTTACAGTCGGGCCGAAGTATAAGATCGAGTTCGATTCGTGGAGGGTACCCTAGTGTTCTTCGTGCTTGCTGGATGTTCTTGCGCATCCTGGGGAGGGTACCATTTGATGTTATGTCTGTCTTGGCCGACGGTGGGTCTCATGTTCTTGAGGGATGTTCTTCAGGCCCAGGTCCGACTGTACAGCCCAGACGCTGAAATAAGGAGCAGTTCCAATTGTTCCTCTGGCTCTCCTCGTGCACCGAGGCGCTCCTGGGGCAAAAACATGTTTTTGTCCTCTTCTAGCGTTCCTTATGGTAGCAGCTGGACTGTACAATCGAACATGCAGCTACATTGGTCCCGAGGTGAGGGCAGGAAGAGGAGGCAGAGGAGGTGAGGGCACAGAGGAAGAACAGGTAGTCACAGAGGAAAAGAGGGGAAGGCAGAGGCCGAGGGAAGGCAGAGAGGAGGAACGATGAAGAAAGCAAGGAAATCCGTCTATCGGACGTGCGTTGGCATGATGTTGCAGTGAACAGTATCATCTTGCACAGCTGTATTCTAGAGCTCGGAGCCCTTTGTGTTCGTCGCCTTTCGTTTGCTCGCTCGTCGCCCACCCACCCACCCCTGGGACCTCCTGCCCCTGTCTTCTCACGAGGGCCCCAAGAGAGCACCGCGATGAGGAGGAGGAGGAGGAGGAGGAGGAGGAGGAAAATGAGGAGGAAAGGGCCCCCATAAGTCCCCCCCCCTCACCCCGCTCCTCCTGGCACTCGCCCTCCCTCGTGCAAGTGCCAAGGCGTGCGTGCGCACTTGCTCGAGCTTGCGAGTCCCAGGCGACCCCGGCGCCGCCACCGCGCCACTGCTCGCCCCGAGCAGTGCCTCGCCGCCTCCGCCGCCGCGCCTCAACCAGGCCCTCGGGCGGCCACCCGTGCGCGGCCCTGCCGGGCCTGTCCCGCCGACCCCTTTCTCCCGGCCTCCCAGACCTCCAACGTTTTGAAGACATCCAGACTATTCTTCTCCTCGTTTTCTGCCTCCGGGGGCCATCGCCGACCCCGGGACCGTCGAGAAACCGATCAGGACGAAAAACCGGCCCTGGGGAAAGGGTCGGGAAGGCCTGGGGCACCCTATTGAAATGGCCCTGGGACGTGCCCAACCCATCCGCTTAAAGTGTCAAGAGCAGCTGGTCCATAACAGTATGGGTGATCACGGCCCAGGATTTGTCATGGGTTGCGCAATCTGTATGGGAAGCGCGCGAGCTGCTGCACGACCCAAAGGACAGCCACAGAAGGACGAGACCTGAGGCCCCAGGCTCGAAGAGGAAATGGGTGTGGGAACGAGGGGCAGGAAAAAGACGAAAGAGGGGCGGAAAAGTTTATGCGACAGCAGCAGTGAGACGGTAGAAGGAAGAAGAAGACGACAACGAAGGAGGCAGGATGAGGAAGGAGAGTGGCGTTACTTTTCCAGTGGCGCGCTGGACAAGGATGCGGCCCGCGCCATGTCTCCCTGGCACTCCACAGGAGCAGCTGTTCATAGCTTGTGCAAGAAGCGAGCGAGGCCGAGCTCGCCCGCCAGGTTCCCCGCTTCCTCCCTACAATTTGCAATGCGGGAGCTAAGCGACTGCAGGCGCGCCTCCTTGTCTTCAGTTGGCTCGGGGGAGCGGGAATCAATGCTAATCTGGATCTGACTCGCACACCATCAACAGTGGCGACAGTTCAGCAGATCGCATCCCCCCAGGGACGGCGAGTTCTAATATGAATATGAGCCTGGTGCCTACTACGCTGCCCCCCCGGCAGCCATCGAAAGTGGCGGCGGCTTCGCAGCTCGCAGCCCACCAGGGCTGGCGAGGCCAAGCCTGAATCTGCGCCTGGTGCCCACGATGTTGGCCCCCCAGCAGCCTTCGAAAATGGCAACAGTTTCGCAGACCGCAGCCTCCCCCCCCAGGAATGGAAAGGTCGAGTTTGAACCTGAGCCTGGTACCAATTACGACGGCCCCTCGAACAACCCTCGGAAGCGACGACAGCTTCGCAGTTCGCACCCCCCCAGGACCAGCAAGGTCTAGTTTGAATCTGCGCGGGGTACCCACGACGCCAGCCTCCCCAGGAACTTTCGAAAGTGGCGACTGCTTCGCAAGTCGCAGCCCTCCAGGGCTGGCGAGGCTCAGTCTGAATCTGCGCTTGGTACCCACTACGTTGGCCACCCAAAGAGGAGCCTCCAAAAGAGGAGCCTCCGCAAAGGGTAGGGCGAGAATCAGGAAAAAGAATCATGCAGGAAGGATAACGAATAACATTATTAACACGCGATGCCGGAAAAGACAGCAAGGAGTTATCGCGGAATTGTCGGTTTGATTTTCCTGCCGTCCCGCTTGCATCTCAAACTTTCAGGACCAAGGTGCGTGGCGCGAAGCGCCAATGCAGTCTTGTATTTATGTGTTGTATATATAAATATACACAATGTGTGGGGGGGCGGGGTTCTCGTGGCAATTCCGCGCACCCGCGGCCAGTTCCGCCCCCGTGTGCGCGTGCCCGCGAGGCGTGCGAGCACGACGTTGCCGCCGAGGTGTTCCAGCCCGGCCGGCGGCCGGTCGTGCCGGGCCAGGATCGGCCACGCGCAGAGGGGGGCAGGGGGAGGGGGAAGGCTTCTTAGAAGGACGCCTGCTCCTTGGAAGGCGCGGGCTTTCTGTTTAGATAGAAGGCTGGCGCCTTCGAGGGAGTAGCCTCCTAAGAAGCCTTCCCCCCTCCCCCATACCCCCTCCTGCGCGCCGCCAACAGGAGGGCGAGGCCGGTGTTCGATCCCAACGAGGCTGACGCCGTCCCAGGAAATCCCCAGACAGCCAACGTCTCGACAAAAATACGACGCAGTCCGTGTTATCGTTTTCGACATCTTGGAGCCTTCGCCGGGCCCAAGGACCGTCAAAAAAAGAGTCGGGATGAAAAGCCTGCATTGGGGAAGGGATCCAGACCTCTGGGGGTCCACGTCATGAAAAAATGACGACGTCGGGTGTCTGGGTCCAGCGTCTTCCGCCTTGCCCGTTGTGGGCCCTCCTGGGGCCTTCTCGCCGCCAAAGGTAGGTCCGCCTTTGGATTTTGGTCAGAGCGCACTGTAGGAGAGGTCCAGGTCCAGAGGCTCGATTCTCGGGGGGGGGCGCCCAGGCCTCTGGGGGCCGTTTTTGGGCCCTGGGATCGCCATGAAGCTACTCCGCTACTCCGGCTGAAAAGTTGGCCCCAAGGAGGAGCCGGGTTTTTTGGAGGGCTCGCATTTTGGCGGCGAGCCCTGGGGGGAAGTGCAAAGGGGCGGGCCTCGTCAGAAGGTTCGGAAATCCCCCGGCCTTCTGAGAAGTTCTCTACGGTTTCCCCGAATACATAGAAAATGCTTCAGAAGGCCACAAGGTTTCTGAGAAGCCCGCCGACTTCTGAGAACGCCTTCTCCTTCTCACGTCCCCCCCTCGCTCGCCGCCGAGCATTGGAAAAAAACACGACGACATCGGTGCTCAATCCTGACCTCCAATGTCCTCCTCGCAGGTCTGCTGGGCCCTCGGGGAACCCGCTCGTCGCCTCGGCTGGGTCCGCCTCGGAATCCTAGTCAGAATGCTCTCTACAGGAGATAGTAGGGTGTGGCAGTTCGCCGAACCCCCCCGGGAACACCCCATTGTGCGGTTGTTCGGGGATCTTGTGTTATGGTTGATGATGAGCATTGGCATGCTCTCCTGCCTTTCCCCCGCCGCCGTTTTGGTTCCTATAGGGGCCTCTGACCACGTCGGGAGGGGGCCCATTTGGCCTTTCGCGCGCTTGCGAGGGAAAAGAACCTTTACTTCAATCTTGGTAGCGGAGCTTCAGTGAAGCTGGTTCGATCCACGGGTCTACGGACTGTTGCGCCTAGAAGTCAGGGCAGCAAACCCACAGCGGTGCTGTGCAGAGCGTCGGTGACGCTTCACAATGCGGAGCGCCAGTGGGCGGCCGCACTTTGCGTAACAGCAGGATTGACAGCCACGATGTCCAGTCCGTACGCAGGTACGGGATTCCCCGCGGAGCGTGACCTAGATGCCTGGGCGGAGGCAGCCAGGGCGATGGCGCGGCGCGCCGAGGAACGGAGTTCCCGCAACGTCGCCATCCAGTACGATGGCGATGCAGCACGGACACAGGATGACAGCCCCCAACCTTTCGGGGGCGCGGTCACGCGAAATGTCCGCGACGCCGCCACGCACTGGGAAAACGATGCGGAACAGACAGAACACGCGGTCGAGCGAAGCCTCCGCGACGTCGGACCCAGTGGAAGATCGAGGCGGGGGAGACAGAGGATGCGACAGCGGAGCTGGCCGCCCAGCTGACTGGCAGGCCCTCGGTCACGAACGGTCGCCCCACGACCCACGAAGCGGGCGGTGGCTGGAGCCGCCACGCCTGGCCAGAGTCTGCCACGGGCGGCGCGCGGGAACAGTGGCAAGGGAGGTCGTCGGGCGCCGGACAGGGAGGCGGCGCTTCCAAAGCCTACGGATGGTCCAGCCAAGCCTGGGGAGGACAGGGAGGCGCCCCGCTGGACTCGCGCGGTTGGCGCCAGCACCAGGAGCGCCGCGGCGCCCAGCCGGGTGGGCCCAGCGCTTCGTGGCCCAGTCGTCAGACCAGGCACGGACGGAACCCGCGGGGCTGGCAGCGGAGCCCTCGCCAGGAGCGGCAGGAGCGGCGGCGCCATGTGCCTGCGCCGTGGACCGAAGCAGCGCTCCGACCCAGACGGCAACATGGGCCGCCGACCCGCTCGGGCACAGCGAGGAGCGCAGCCGGCCAGCCAAGCATTTGGAAAATTCGGAAGGCGGAGCTGGTGGAGCCAGTTGCGGAAAAGCTCCGATGGCGACGGGGGCGCAGAGAGAGCCACGCGTGAGCAGCTGCGGCAAGCTCTTCGGGGAGCGCGTGCCTGGGGGAACCCCGAGGGCGCCGAGTGGAATCGGCGGCCCCCCGAATGGCGGCGGCGATCGCAGCTGCACTTGTCGGCGGCGCCATCGAGCTCTGCCGAGGACGTCGAGCCGAGGGGCGCTGGGAGCGACGAGCGGGGAAACGACGAGAGTAGCGACGGAGCGGATTCGGGGCGCCCCGAAGCTGGGGCCGACGATGGCGACGAGTCGAGACGCGACGCGTGCAGCGACGGAGCTTATCCATGGGGTCCTGCGGCAGAGGACGATGAAGATGTCTGCGCGGAGTCTTCTCTGAGCGGCGTGCAAGGAGAAGGCGGGCCCCGAGAGCGCGCGCCCGACTGGCGGATGGCGGCCCCAGTCGCGCGAGCAATTACCTCGCGAATCCATGATTTTCACAGTCCTTGTATGTGCGTGCATGTAGGAGCCGCCAACCAGCGCCCAGGCCACAGAGATCTGGGCGCGGGCGGGCGGGGTCCGAGGCAGAGAAAAGGTGAGAGCCAGTATTGATGATAGGCACTGGCATGCTCTTCTGCCTCTCCCCCGCCGCCGCTTTGGCTCCCACGGGGGCCTCTGACCGCGTCGGGAGGGGGCCCCTTCGGCCCTTCGCGCGCTTGCGAGGGAAAAGGATTTCGACTCCAACAGTTGTGTTTGTTGTTATGTCTGTGTTGTTTTTGTTCCTAGAGGTTTACGGGGGGCGTGTGTATATATATTAATATGTATATACTATAATATATACATACATATATATATGTATGAATACACCCATATACACATATACATTCATATATATATATATATATATACACACACATATATATACATATACATATATATATAATGTTCGGTTGATATTCGGCGAGTTCCAGGACCCCACAATTGAAGAACAATTCTTTGCTCTTTAATTTAAGTTTATATATATATATATATATGTATAATCATGGGTTCCTCAGGGGGCCGGGGGTTCTCCAGCCACCTCAGGCTCCAGGGGCAACCATTTTTTATTTAGAACTATCCCGGCAAAGCAACCGAAGAACGATGTATATAAGCATATTTGGAAGCATGCCCCTTATGATGCAGGTGAGAACCCAGTTGTAGAAATCTGCTGTTCTCGCAGTCGCAGTCGCATTCGCAATGACAGTCACAGTGGCAACGGCCTCAGGATCCAATGGAATCCCAAGGATTCCTAGGGATTCCTAAGACATCCTTAGGCATCCTTAGGAATCCATCGGGATCCTTAGGAAATCTTAAGAATCCTTGGGAATCTCGATTCCTAGGGATCCCTCGGGATTCCTAAGGATGCCTAGGGAATCAGAAGAATTCCTAAGGATTTCGGAGGATGCTTAACTATGCCTACGGTTTCCTCAGGATGCCTACGGATTCCAAAGGATTCCCTGGGATTCCTAAGGATTCGTATGGATTCCTACGGATGCCTCAGCCTGCCTCAGTTTCAGCCTCAGCCTCAGCCTGCCTCGGCTTGCCTCAGCCTCAGTCTCGGCCTGCCCCGGCCTCAGCCTCAGCCTGCCTCAGCCTCAGCCTCAGCCTGCCTCGGCCTCAGCCTGCGTCAGCCTCAGCCTCAGCCTGCCTCAGCCTCAGCCTGCCTCAGTGTCAGCCTCAGCCTCAGCCTCAGCCTCAGCCTGCCTCGGCCTCAGCCTCAGCTTGCCTCAGCCTCAGCCTGTCTCAGCCTCAGCTTGCTTCAGAATCAGCCTCAGCCTCAGCCTCAGCCTGCCTCGGTTTGCCTCGGCCTCAACCTCAGCCTGCCTCGGCTTCAGCCTCAGCCTCAGCCTGCCTCAGCCTCAGCCTCAGCCTGCCTTAGCCTCAGCCTGCATCAGCCTCAGCGTCAGCCTGCCTCAGCCGCAGCTTGCCTCAGCCACAGCCTCAACCTCAGCCTCAGCCTGCCTCAGCTTCAACCTTAGCCTCAGCCTCAGCCTGCCTCGGTCTGCCTCAGCCTCAGCCTGCTTCGTCCTCAACCTCAGCCTGCCTCAGCGTCAGCCTCTCAGCCTCAGCCTGCCTCAGCCTCAGCCTCAGCCTCAGCCTGCCTCAGCCTCAGTGTCAGCTTCAGCCTCAGCCTCAGCCTGCCGCAGCCTCAGCCTCAGCCTGCCTCGGCCTCAGCCTGCGTCAGCCTCAGCCTCAGCCTGCCTCAGTTTCAGCCTGCCTCAGCCTTAGCCTCAGCCTGCCTCGGCGTGCCTCAGCCTCAGCCTCAGCTTGCCTTGGCCTCAGCCTGCCTCGGCCTCAGCCTGCCCCAGTTCGGGCATTCAAAATATGGCACAGGACTGGTGTTCTGGGAACACGAAGATCACGAAGTGGCCCACAGCTGGCTCCGGGCAATCAAAATATGGTACAAGAGTTGTGTTTTGGGAACACGAAGAACACGAAGTGGCCTACAGCTGGCTCCAGGCATTCAAAATGTGGCCTGGGAATGGTGTTCTGGGAACACGAAGAACACGAAGTGGCCTACAGTTGGCTCCGGGCATTCACAATGTGGCGTCGGAATGGTGTTCTGGGAAGACGAAGAACACGAAGTGGCCTACAGTTGGCTCCGGGCATTCAGAATGTGGCCTGGGAATGGTGTTCTGGGAACAGAATCTGTAGGAACCCATAGGACATTGTTTGGAATCTATAGGAGTCCTGGGGAGTCCCCGGGTTCCCCGGCTTCTCCCGGCACCCGCCCCGACCCCCTTGGGGAGTCAAGATGCTCTCTTTTGAGCCCACTAGAAACCTATCAGTCTTCGCCGTTAGGGAAAACAGTCAAACAATTTTCATTTTTATAGATATAATATTCTATCATTTGTCGGGGGGGCCCACGGGCCCACACATGAAACCAAAATTACGTTTGCAAACCCTCTACCCACCCTCCAGGAAAAAATGAAAAAAAAATATCCCGGC